ACATGGGACACTAACTTTTGAAATCAAGGAGATAGATGTGACATATATTCTTGAAACTACTCCTCTTCAAGTCTTTTTTCACCTCACACTGAACCTCTATTAGCGGATGGATTGATTTATCCTCAAACTGAAGTTTTGGAACCTAATGCTTAGGATGGAAGAGATCTTGAAGTTACGCATGTTCAAAAGATACATTTTGATCGTGAGCTACTAGAGTTGCTGACACTGAATGAGACTCAATCAATTCTAGATTTCTACCTCGACGGAGTGCTCGTCTTAATAAGGCTAGAAAACTCTGAAACGTAGGGTTGCTTCTATCTTTATACAATTAGCTAATGGATTATATATATGGGGATTTCATCACTTTTGGGCAATAATGTGAGTTTTCTCGCACTTAAAAATGTAGTAGTAAAGTGGTAAAAGTACGAGTATCGTCTCCACAGGGACGGACAAAAGGGAAATAAGAATTAACTAAATTAAGCGATGAAAAAAGAAATAAAAATAAATGTAATGGTGTGAGATTCGACTGATTGGAAAAATAAATTGCAGGCAAACGAATAAAAAGCTTGGTTTCTTCTTAATTAACGACGAAGGGAAAGGGATTGATTCCGGGGTAACCAGATTTCTGGCAGATCATTACTAAGTTCTTACCGCTCTCGTGGCGTAGAGTGCAATAATTTAGGGGACCAGGCTGATCAGGGGCAGACCTATATGGGTTCAAAAGAGTTCATGTGAACACCCAAAGATTTTTTTTTGTAAAAGAATACATAGATGAATTTTCTGGATTTTTTTTTAAATAAATTTGAACACCTAAAATTTGAAAAAGAAATTTGAACACCTAAAACTAACTTGGTAGATCCGCCACTGAGGCTGATCTCTCATGCGACAGGATCCTAAATTATTGCCAAGAAGAGCGAGCTTACGGCCTATTAATCACTACTAATCTCTTAGCGAATGAGTGTGTGTGAAGGTGTCTTAGAATAAACTAGATCTCTCTTAATTTATTCTACAAGCAATTGTAATTCTATCCGCGGTTCTAGGTTACAAGATATATCAATTAAATTATTCAAACACAAATTAAACGACATTCATGCAATTAATCCATCAAGAAATTAGCTATACATCATGATTAACCCCTTCATCAATCTCACATCCCTAATTAAACTACTCACAACTCATAATTGACGAATCAACAGAATTGGGATGAATAGAAATAATTGTCATTAATTAAAAAGTAGAAACTTACAAATAATCCTAGGGTCTTGAACAAAATAGCGTAAAAACAATGTAAAACTCGCCCCTAGGCCTCTCTCTAACTTCCGTAACCCCCAAAATAGGAGAATGCATGGAGGCCTTATTTATAGAAAACAGATGAATCTGGGCGAAACTGGGATTTCCAGAGTAAGGCACGGCGTGCCTGACGACCGTGTTTGCAGATCACTTCACGCGTCTCATGTCCAGGCACGGCGTGTCTCCCTGGTAGGCACGGCCATGCCAGACCTCTAGTGGTCGGGTACCTTGTTCTTTTACAAGCACGGCGCGCCTATCTGCCAGGCATGACCGCGGCTAGGTAATTTCTTCGTCGGGCCTTTGTTCCACGCACGCACGGCGTGCCTAACGCCAGGCACGACCGTGTGTGGCTTGTTTCTTCTCTTTTTTTCATTGTTTCTTGCTCTAAATGTTCCCGGATGCTTCCGTGGTCGATCCAAAAGCCTTTTCTTCATCAAATCATCGTCGTGAACCTCCTGGTGGCCTCCAAAACTCTCGAATCACTCTCGAATGCTCATCAACTTTTCCCAATTGCTTCTCAAGCGCCGGTTCCAGACTCTAATTTCCTGATTTGACTCCAAACAACACAAAACTCGAACCAACGTCCGGTAAACATAACTTGAGCTAAAACTGAGACTTATGACACCTAAAAGCTAGGGAAATCATCAAAAGCCGATCCCAACATGCATCAAATGTGTGGTGTAATACGAACTTATCAGACAACTCCATACAATTCAACGGGGAGCTATTTGATTTTAGGGATTTGATTGGTGGTGGATTCAGGGCCTTTTTGGATTGTTCACTTAGCAGCGATTTGGTGGTGGATTCGAGGACTTATTTGGTAGTTCTCCCAAAAATTTATAAAAAAATTGTAACAAAAATCACCCCATGTACGTCGGCGGATGAAGGATGAAGAGGGTGTTTTTCGTGGATAGTGATATTTTAAAGGTGCGTAACTGCGTAGTAAGAGCATCTCCAATGGTAGAATGTGCACGGTGCACATGTGGCATGAGAGACTGTCACATAAATATTAGCAAATAAATTATTTCTTTCCTTATTTGAATGACTTTATACAATTTTGGTATGTTTTGTCCTGCAATGTCAACTGCAATGTCAACATTTAGACGGTCTCCTTGACATTGTGGAGAAAAACTTACCAAAGCTGTATAGAATCATTCAAATAAGGAGAGAAAGAATTAATTTATTAATATTTATGTGGCTATCTCTTATGCCACATGTGCACCGTGCACATTTTACCATTGGAGATGTTCTAAGTTAGTAACCCTACTATACCCAATTTGCATTCTTTCTATTTGAGAAAACGCATACGAGCCACATATCGCTACTTCATAGCAGAAAAATCCAAAATTTTGTTGGAAATAATCCACACTTTCTAAAACATACTCCCAGTTTGTTAAAATTTTGTCTAACTAACTTTATCAGTTTCTATTTTAAGTAAATAAAGAATCTATGATTTCAATTTAATTCTTTTCTGCACAAACTCCAACCACATAATTTTTACTTTATTAATCCTTATGTCGGTCAAAAAAATTATAAAAAAAAAATCTAATGAAAACCACCCCATTACCCCAAACGTCGGTGGATGAAGGATGAAGAGGATGTTTTTCGTGGATAGTGAGTGATATCTTAAAGAGTTATGACTTGTTTATTTGGGGGTTAATCTAAGTTATTGAAGATTCAATTTCTAGTTAACCCCGTTTGTTTGTATTTTTATAACAACAATCTAGGTTATGCGTTAACCTCACTTAACTTCCGAGAATCTGGAAGAACCTTAAATTGAAGAACCTCCGAATCGAGGGTTTTGAAGGTTAAGTTCTCATTTAACATAAAATGAGCTAGTGTACCTTAATCCAAACAACATATATTACATTAACCTAGATTCACTTTGTATATTTCCAAACACTATTTTACGTATGGATATATGTTAACCTACTTTTTATTAAAACTCGGGTTTACTTCACGTTATAAACATACGTGCCACATATCGCTACTTCATAGCAAAAATATCCTACGGAGTACTATATGTAGGAACCACTTCGCTATTGACCATGACATCGAAATTATTGCCCCTGGCAACGACAAATGCTGAAATGCCTATTGATCATAGGGGTCATGTTGCAATAAATAATGATTTTCACATATGAAATGCGAAATGTGATAGATCCACGAAACTTATCATGGGGCCGTGCATTGACGTATTCAAAACCAATTTTGTGTGGTGCCAAACCTTTTTTTGCCAAACCTAAACTAGAATTTAGTCCCAAATAACAAGTACGGGGTACATTATTAATATTACAGAGTATTTGATTAGACTTGGCTTAAATTATAAATGTATGTATAAGTGTAAGAGCATCTCCAATGCTAAAATGTGCACAGTGCACATGTGGCATGAGTGATAGCCACATAAATATTAGCAAATAAATTATATCTCTCCTTATTTGAATGATTTTATACAATTTTGGTAAGTTTTTCCCTGCAATGTCAACATTTAGACGGTCTCCTTGACATTGTGGAGAAAAACTTACTAATCTGTATAAAATCATTAAAATAAGGAGAAAAAGAATTTATTTACTAATATTTATGTGGTTATCTCTCATGCCACGTGAGCACCGTGCACATTATACCATTGGAAATGCTCTAATAGTGCCCCTCCTTCAAATAAATAAATTTCTCAATCACAGCTTTTCAGTCAAAAGCTAAATTATGAGAATGTTCTCGTTTTATTTTTTAACACAGAGTGGAGTATTAGAGTGCGTATGTTTTTACTTGGACTATTTTCAGTCTCAAACCAGACCAAGATCAGATCAGACTCGTCTTGGATAGTAATAAATATCCAGAGGACAGATATTTACAAGATCATACCAGATCAGATCAGAACAGACCATCAACTTTTAGTCCAAATAAAAATATCGTACATCTCACTTTAAATTCTATTTTTAACAATTAAGCTTGCCCTCAAATTTTCAGATTTTTCTTTAAAATATTACACAATCATTCATAATAAATAGATCCATATATACTAATATACTATATATGTGGCACTTTTTTATTTTTAATTTCTATTTTTTTAATTCTTCAATTTTATACCCTTACTATATACTCCCTCCGTCCCGAAAACAACTTCCCACTTTCCTTAAATGGATGTCCCAAAATTAACTTCACACTTCAATACTTTTCTTATTTGGCAAATTATCTACATCAAAAAAGTGATAAACAGTGCCAAACAGTGTTTAAACAGTGCCAAACAGTGTTTAAACAGTGCAAAACAGTGCATTCTACAGTAAAGTCAAATTTATTTCCTAAAAGTGTGTGAAAGTCCAACCGGGAAGTTGTTTTCGGGACGGAGGGAGTACTAGTATTTCATTAAAATTTGGGAAAACAATTTTAAATTTTTTATGTTTACTCATATTTTGGTGGGACCATTTTTTATTTTTCTCATATGCTTTCTATGTTCCTTTTTAATTGCCAACTCACAAGTTTGACTATTATTATCTTTCATTCTTTATTAGTAAAAAAAAAAATTTAAAAAATTTAGATTTTGAAAATTTAAATTGAGAAGAATTTAAAAATATTTTTTAAAAATTTAATTTATAATGCATTAATAAATAAAATATAATCAAAATAGAACATATGAATAGTGCAAAAAGTTCAATTAAAAAAGAGAGACCAATATATATAATGAAAAAAATATTTCAGTTGAATTTGCAACGATTAGAGCTGGATAAGAGCGTCAGCAGAGACCAATACAATTCAGCCATACATACCCATAACAAGAAAGTTTTATACAGTACGAAAGAAAGAAATTAAATATGGGAAGAGCGGAAGGATGGACTAGATTACGGACAGCCGCCCTTTTGGTCAACGCCGTATTGTTGGGCGTCGGAAACTGCGCCAACCCTCTTCTTACGCGCCTCTACTTCATCGGCGGCGGCACCCGGATATGGTTTTCCGCCTGGCTGCAAACCGCCGCTTGGCCAGTCACTTTCATCCCTCTTCTCGTCTCCTACCTCCACCACCGCCGCCGCCGGAGCCAGACAAGCGACTCCGGTGAGTTCCAACACATCACGCCGTTTCTTTTCATCTCCGCCGCCCTCATCGGCCTTCTGATGGGCCTGAACAACTACCTCTTCACGTACGGCGTCTCCAAGCTTCCGGTTTCGACGGTGCTTCTGATCGGGAGCTCTCAACTCGGGTTCACGTCGGTGTTCGCTTTCTTCCTCGTGAACCAGAAGTTTACGGCGTTCACGATAAACGCGGTCATTTTGCTGACCTTATCGGCGGTTGTTTTGGGCGTCCGGGCGGGGAACGACCGCCCGGCGGGGGAGTCGAACAAGGAATATATTTTGGGGTTTGCTTCGACAGCTGGGTCGGCGGCTTTGCTGGGGTTGGTTTTTCCGTTGGTGGAGTTGAGTTATAGTAAGGCGAAGAAGGCCAAAATTGAGTATAGTATGGTGCTGGAATTTCAGATGGTTCTGTGTTTTGCTGCCACTCTTGTCTGCACGCTTGGAATGTTCATAAACCATGACTTCGAGGTTATCTTCTCTAAATTCAACGTTGAATTTTTAACTATTTACATGTTGCGTAGTGTTTGATTCAGTTTAATTTATTAATATAATAGTGTATTTTTTGAGAAAAATATTACTACGTATTATATTTGTATCATCGTAAATTTTCAAAATCTAGTTTTTTAAATATTTTCACTAATACAAAATTATACTTTGTATATTTCTTTTTAATTACAACAGTCCACTTTTCAAGCTTGTCAACGTACAAGTTTGACCGTTAATATCTTTCACTCTTTATTAGTAAAAAAAATTAAAAAATCAGATTTTGAAAATTTATTATGAGAGGAATATAAAAATAGTTTTTAAAAATCTAATTCGTAATACATTAATAAATAAAATGTCGTCAAAGTAGAATTAGTGAATAGTAAAAAAGTCATATGTTGCAATTAAAAGAGAGCGGGGTAGTATATATTAATAATCAAAGTTGTATCTCAACAAATGTAAAAAATTGACTATTGCATTTATTTAATAATGGAGAAAGTTGACCTAAATATGAGTAAATGGGGGTTTTAGAATTCTAAAATAGGACTACTATGTTTATCCTTCCGTAGTAATAAATATTGATACGTTAAATGCACTATACTGCAATTATTTGGAATACTGACATGTTAATCCTATTTTGAGAATAAAACAAAATAGTCATATTTTGGAAAATCTCTCATTTTAATTTGATCTAATTTAGTCCTGTGTTTATGAAATCGGCCCGACCTGACCGGATTGTCCAGGAAACTGCCGACCCCGGTAAATCGCCAGTCCGGTACAAGTTAGAAACCGTAAAAGGTCAAAACCCGGTTAAACCCATCAAAAATTTGAAAGATCCGGTCGATTCGGACAGTGGATGTAAAGACGAAGAAGATGTCGTAAGGAGAGCTTCCATCGATTTCAATACATCCTTAAAAAAAGACTTTCAATTAAAGTCACAAAGATTATCGATTGATAGTCTAGTTATGATTTCCTTTTTCAGATCTGTAAATAAAAGTAAATTAAGAAGTATTATTGGTAGGGTCTGTAAGTTTGAAATAGAGCTGAACGGTTGGGGAAGAGATGATGACTAGGGAGTGGATTGGTATGTAAGTGGAGGGGAACATGAACATTACAAGTGGGTATGGGAAAATGGAGAGATCAAACTGAAAAAGTAATTGATACAGAGTGTACTTTAATTGTTTAGAGTCCGTTTGGTAGCACGAAAATCGGTTCATTTGACTGATTCTATTGAAATTTATGAAATTCTGGTTGAAGTGACTGCATTGGTTGATTTTACTGATTTAGCAAAAAATATTTAAAAATATATTTTCTTAATAAAGTAAAGAAAAAATTATATGTAAAAATAGCTAAAATGGTCGTCTACGGTAACTTCAGTCAATACAGCAAGAAAAGTAACTCCAACGTCATTTTTCTGCTTATTACACAATTCAGCGGGTGAAAACAAAAGTTACGTGTTTGATAAAAAACATTGGCTGATAAGCCTGATGAGCCTAAAAACAGTGTTGCCAAACGGCCAAGAAAATTTCAAAAGACTAGGCAGTTTTGTACTTTTGTGGGTGTCATTCAAAAAAACAGAAGTTAGCTTTTTTGTATGGAAAACCTAGGGCTGATTCGGTGGTATACCGAAATTTCAACGTCATACCGCATATCGTACTGAAAATCCGATATTGATAAAAGTCATACTGTTACCATACCGAAAGTAGTATACCGAATTTCGATAATTCGGTACGGTATGTAACCCATACCGTATTATACCGAAAGTTCACAACATTGATCTTCTTGGAGCATATAAAGCATCGGCATATATGCTTAACATAAAAAGCTCATACAGATTGAAACATGTGCCAGTATGCCGGTATTAAATAATTCTACAAAACCTTGGTCAGTAATTAAAGGTTTAAAGTTCTGCCAAAGACAAAACTGAGGTCACTAAATCCTAGGCGAAAGTAATTCCTAGAACTTTTTTCTAATTCTTATTAAAAATAAATGTAAACAAAAACAGAATAATTCAAAGTTCTGGTTGTAGCATGCTAGACACAGACCAGATTGAGAAGATTCAGCAGTGAAATGATTGAAGGTCGTCCGCAGCTCCGTGCTTCGTCAATGGCATCGCCGTCCGCACGAATCTTGACTTCTTGGGAGAATCTTCTGCCATGCTTCATGCCAGCTGCGACTCAAACTCGGGCTAGAACAGAGATGAGACGGAGGCATAGCTTAGAAATCCATCGTCATTGCTCCAATATGTGATGGGTTTTTTAGTTTGGGCCTTGATGTTTTAGTTACTTCATTTAATGTCTTTGGGTTGGGTTTGGGCCTTAACAATTTACAAGTTTTATTTCGGTATATACCGAACCATATCGAAAATTAACGGTATTTCGGTATATATCGAAATACCGAAAATTTTAAAAGTGCATACCTGTACAGTACCGAAGTGATCTGGTATGGTATCATACCGTACCGAAAAATTGGGTATACCAAAATTTTCGATAAAATCGGTATTTTTCGGTATGGTATGGCCGGTATACCAAAATTACGATATATTTTCCCACCCCTAGGGAAACCCCTCTACCTATTAGGATGATAGGGAGGGAGGGAGGGAGGAAGGGGAGGGGGCAAGCCTACTCTAATATCCTATTTTGTATTGAATGATGTAACATTTTTATTTATATTTCAATTTTTATAAAAAAAATTATATCAAAATTTATACTCCGTAACTTTTAATGATCTTTCATACATGATAAACAATGACTTTTCAAATAACACCAATATTGCATATATACAGTTTTTAAGAAAAACCGAAGTTTCAACAATACGATGTTTTCAAATTCAAAATTCTCAAATAGATCCATATACTAAAATTAAAACTCCACTTTTAAAACAATTGAAACATTTAATAAAGTTATTTTAATAGTGAGATCTTAATTTTAGCACTTGAATCTATTTATGAAAAAAAATTGGCCTAAAAATTTTCTACTGTTAAAACTTCAAAAAATAAATTAAACTTTATATATAGAATATTGGTGTCATTAGAAAAATCATAAAAAGTTATGAATTTTGATATGTTTTTTTGTAAAAATTGGAATAAAAATAAAAAAGTTGCCTCATTTATAAGATAAAAATAGGTTTTACCCTTAACCTTGCCCCCTCTCCCTCTCACCCAACCTACCCTGTCCATCATCCCATTCGGAATTGCTCTTTCCAAATCCCCTATTCTTAGAAAGGCTAAGAGAAAACTTGTTGCTTTGGGTTTTCTCGCATTCTTATAAATCACCCAACCATTAATTAAGAGTAAATTACTTTAATGGGAGTAAAACATTGAATAATTAAATGCATAAATATGAGTTCAATGTTTAATAGAAGTAAAAGTATAATGAAGTTACAACTTTATTTACAATTAGAAAAAAAAATAAGCTAAAACCAAATCAAAACTCTAACACTACTCTGCCTCTGCCTCTGATCTTATAGTTTAGCAGTTGTCCAGTGACTTCGTCGCCTGCTGTCCGGCGAGTAGTGCTAGGGTTGTGATCTCATTCCATCAATTGAAATTTGATGATATGGAATGACTGGGCCAGAAGATCTATCTTATTTAGAAGACAGATTTAAGAATTCTCCCGTTTTGAATTCCATTCTAGAAACATATTAGTGTAATTTCTGGACACTAATCATAATTTAATCGAAGGAAGAACTGTTATCCGCAAAACATGCTAAGTAAATTGAAAATGACAAAGTTAATTGTTGGGCCGGTCTGCAGGTGTAACCTCGTCATCGTCAAGTTTATATTTGGGGCGAAATAAGAAAAATAAAAACAATGACTCAGAGAGAAATAAGCAAAACATAATTTATGTACTTTAAAGGTAAAAAATTTGTGGAACAAACACAAAAAAAATGGCAAATTCAAATAGGACAAATAGCATACTCTGCATTATATATTGGCAAACAATGCGACTTAGTTAATTGTTTTGGGGCGTGGTTCCAATGACATCGATGCCTAACGTGAGAACACTCACATGTAAATCAATAAAGCTCTTTTGTTGCACATTTTTAAATTTGCTCAAATTAGGCTAATATTAATTAAAGCGATGACATTTTGATAATTATTATCGAAAAATACAACAGATGAGTTTCATTGTGCACCATGTCAGGAAAAATGTGGTGTTATCACCTTAATCATTGTTATCGTTTGATTTGTAATCATTTTGCTTGGAATAGTACTGTAGTACAAGTTTTGTTGAATTTGTGAAGGTAATATCAAGGGAAGCAAGAGAGTATGAATTGGGAAAAACAAAGTACTTCTTGGTAATAGTGGGGGATGCAATACTTACACAGTTCTTTTATGTGGGAGCCCTTGGAGCGACGTCGTACGGCTCATCTCTGTTGTCTATGGTCATCATCACCGTCCTCCTCCCCATCACGGAGCTGATGGCCGTCGTCTTCTACCACGAGAAGTTCCAGGCCGAGAAGGGCATCTCTCTGTTCCTCTCCCTTTGGGGATTCGTTTCTTACTTCTACGGAGATATAAAAAACAATATCAAGAAAAAGAACCCGCAACCGGCGACAATGCAATGGCCAGATTCGTTATGTACTACTTGTCAATTGAAATTGAATCTCTTGAATAGTGTGTGACATTTTAAGTTTAAAAAATTTCATTATAGTCTTGACTATTCAATGTGTAAAATATACGTAGTAGATATGTGTAAAATATACGTAGTAGATATTGAGTGTACCATGAATTAAGACCATGAACCAATTACGGAATTGTAACTCAAGCGCATAAACGGGATCAAGCTCTCAACGGGATCAGACTATAAGTAAGATTAGCCTTCTACGGGATTAGCTCTTAACGGGATCAAACCCTAAACGGGATTAATATTAATAGTCGTTGGGCCTAATAACGAATCAGGACCACGAGAGGAATCCACAACCAGACCATGCTGGACAGCAGATCTTGAGCCTGGGCGGAGTTTTAGTGAGGTTGGGATATTCCTAGGACTTACGTGGCAGGCTATCATTTGAGCATAGCTATCTGCCAGCATGCGGGAATAACGGAAGGAACGTGGATTTAAAGGAACTATCATTGCACAACGTCCAAAACGTTACAGGAGTCCTATTCGACTAATATGTAATTAATAACATTTATTGTATCAGTTTCCTCCTAGAATATTAGTTCCTATAGCCTATAAATATTTCCTGTATATCTCCTATCAAAAGACCAAACTCCGGATTTATAATGTAGCCTTACGCTGCCTAAATTTCATCTGCTCTCGTAGTTGGATTAAACTCCAGCATATATATTAAAATGTATTGGTCTGACATATGTGTATTTTTTTATTGTCAATCTGATGTGGCATGATCTGTTTTGGTCAAATCTAGTCTGATTTGATGTAGTCTAGTATAGCATCATGTGATTTAGGTGTGAAATTGAAACAAGTATAATCGAACTATCTTATGTTCAACTTCATACTAGAGTGACCATTTATATGCATTGTCACTATAATTACATTTTAAATAAATTTATTCAAATAAAAATTTTGGAAAATCCTAAAATTAAGGATGAATGCAAGTTAATAACGAAAGTGAACATGACTTGATTCCGGGGTAATCAGATTTCGGGGCTGATCAGACTTGATCACATTAAAATTATTTAATTGAGCAACGCTGATCGATATTAGGTTCTTACCGCTCTCGCGGCGTAAAATACAATAGTTTAGGAAACCGGGTTGATCTCTCTTTTTTTTTGCCGAAGAACACAATTTTATTAAAGGAAAAGCAGAGGAAAGTACATAGAAGATACGAGGAATGAAAGAGAAGGAAAACCCAACCCGTAGTGCAACTACGAAAACCACCCAAGAGAACAATAAGAGTTCATTCTAGATTGAAGAGGTCCACCCGAGATTGGGATCGGGTCCTCATTGTGTGCAATCGCTGATGCTTTTTTCTATATAATTTAATTTGAGTGTTCAAATTTGATGTAGGCAAGCAGTTATCCCCCGTGACTAGTCTTGCCTTGTTGCACATGTCCTGGTTGACATCTGAATCCCATAGATCTTCCATGGAGGATATAGGAGGTCTTTTCTCACTCTCTGAAGCATGGCCAAGAAATTCATCCCCAGAATATGAGTAAATATGATTAGCAAAGACACGCTCTCCATCAACAGAGGGTTGATTACCTATAAGAACATCGTTGACCTCCAAAGTACCCAAGTTAGTATTGTCTTCCTCATTTGGCCTCATAACCCTTGTTTCGCGATCACCCATAAAGGAGGCAAGAATTTTTTCAAATTCTCTAATTAAAAAATGAGAAACCGAGTCCACTCCATTAGCCATAGATCTCTCTTAATTTATTCTATGTGCAATTATAATCCTAGTAGATGTTCAAGGTCACAAGAGATATCAATTAAATTATTCAAACACAAATTAAATAAAGATCATGCAATTAAAACATCAAGAAATTAACCCTAGATCATGATTAACCCCTTCATCGAACCCAAATCTCTAATTAAAACTACTCACAATTTATAAATGAATTAACAATAGAATTGGAAAGGAAAGAATTAATTGTAATTAGTTAAAAAGATTGAACTTACAAAAAGTCCCAAAATCTTGACAATCCAAGGCTGAAAAGCTCTCAAAAATTCATTCTAGGGTTTATCTCTCAAAGCTCATGGTCCAAAACAAAACAAAACAAAACAAAACAAAACAAAACAAAACAAGCTGAATATATAGAAAACAACTAAAAGTGGGTGAAATTGGATCCGCACGGTCATGTGCACGGCATGCAACCAACCGTGCGGGCTTCCTTAAAAATATATCAATGTAAAAAACCATTCGCCCGTCCACACGATCTGGCCTTGCGGACCTCTCTGCAAGCATGATCTGGAGTGGGAAGTGTGCGGATTCCACACGGTCGGTCGTGCAGACCTTCTTGTAAGCAATTTCTGGAGTGCGAGGTGTGCGGGCTCACGTGGTCCAGCGTGCGGACCCTTTTTAGACCGTTTTCTTTCTCTTTTCTTCCTCGTTCGACCCCGATCGATCCCAGCTTCATTCGTTGATTTCTTTTTACTCTAAAAAGGCTCCGTAATCGCCCTGTGGATGTTTAATGCCTCTTGCCATCTATCGAACGTGTCTCACATCCTTCCAAATTAATCTCTAACGCTGATGTCGATCGGGTTCAAATTCCTGACTTTTGCTTCAAAAAATCGCAAACCAAACTCGGTAAATCATGACTTGATGAGCTAATTAACCCTAACACGCATCCAATGCGTGTTGAAATACAGATTTGTCAAATTTCTCCACACTTAAACTTTTGCTTGACCTCAAACAAACTGAATTTCGGGACTTACGATAATCACCACATGACATTAATAACCATCAGCATGCAGTGGAAGTCAAAAGTATATTAATAGAAAAAGACAAAGTAAATTAAGTAAACTCTTCCCTAAACTACCTCTTTGTACCCTGGCTAAAATTACTGACATAAATAATTACAACATCCTTGAATGAAGTTAAAGCAGCATACACAATTAGTCTTGCTCCTGATCAGGATTTGTGGAGGTGATGGTGAATGATGCAAAAGTCTCTTTCCTTGAGAGTTTGGAACAACCTGACAGCGACTCAATGTATGTGGGAGTTCCGGGGATAATTCTACGAAAAAAATTCAGCAAGACAATAAATATGAACTATCATCTATCTCTATGCAGGAAGTAGACATGGTGTACAACTAATCTAAATCGTCATTGCCATTGGTGCTTTGACGTACACTTGAAGTATGTGAAAGACTAATGCTAGAGATGCAAAAGCCTTTAAGTCCAAATTAATTCAGTTTAATTTTCCTTGTCATGTTGGCAAGAGAACGTCATTTCTTTTGAAAGATCCCCAAATCTCATCTTATTGTTGTAACACGTACGTTTTTTGACTAGGTATCTTATTCCCTTTTTCGTAATGTAAGAGGTCTAGCTACATTAATTATTTTTTCATTTTTTACGGATTTTTGCTAGACATAACCTCATTCTAATCTTGGCCTCACCAAGGAAAGTTTAGTCATGAATGTTAATTGAAAAGGTGAATCCATGTCTACAATAAAATCCTCAAGATATCAAATTCCTAGATAGTAACTGCTCTTGCCCCACTTTGGGCATAGCAACAGTGCAAAATTGGATCCAACAGAACTTTCTAAACTGAGCAAATTCACCCCTAACATCCTAAACACCAAAACGCTGTCAGAATTATTCACGGGTAAGAACAAAGACCATTTTGCAATACAGCTCGAATTATGAGGAAAAGAACGGAAAGGTCGGACTCAAAATGACTTCTCCTAACGGACTTAATCAAAGTGGGTGGAAATAATGAATTTAAACGAGAAACTAATGTCTTCTTCATCTCAACAACAAGAGTAAGGGTGTTGCAATTTAAGCCTAAACCTTCAAAGATATATTTTAATGGGACACACACAACCCTAGCAAGCTTACAAACAAACAGTTTAAAGAAAAAAAAATTGACATGACTTTTCTACAAATATACAATTAACACCACACTTAAACTTTGGCATCGTCCTCGATGATCTAAAAAATGCAATATGAATTAGGAAGTAAAAAGGAATGGGTCACGCGTGCTCAACTAGCTCAAGTCAACCAAAGAAAATAAAAGAAATAAGATCATGAAGACTTCCCTAGGTATTTGGTCTATCAAGAACACACACGAACCCTCAACTCAAACAGCACATCATTGATTAGGCTAGAAATCAAGCTGCAAAGACAAACACAAAGCAAAGCGTCCAAACATAATTAGGGGTGGGCAAAAAACCGAGAAATTGGTATACCGCACATACCGTACCGAAAAATACCGGAATATTGGTGTACCATCATTTTTGGTACAGTATCATATCGTATCGATTTATTTCGGTGCGGTATCATACCGTACCGATTTATTTCGGTACGGTAAAGGTAAATGTTTTCAAATACTGCGGTGTACCGGTACAATACCTCCCTAACTAACAATTACTTCAAATTCTAAAATATTGTAAAACTCCATTACAATTTTGAGGCCCAAAATTAATACTTGGGTTGGTTAGAAATACTAAATACAGAAATAAAGGCCCAATTTTCCAAACTCACTATAACCTTCTAGGCTTGTACAACGTAACATTCAAAGAAACTAACCCTAATGACTAATGAGTAATGTACTAATGTCCATAAACCAGTCCATCTTCGCGATGGGTGAGCCACTGAGTAGCTGATGAGTGAATTGGCATACACTTATGTGGCCAGTGTATCAACATATGATTTTGCGAGTCGAGGCACACAACTTGTCCTAAACTCTTGTTCAAATATTTTTTAAACTATAAAAATGACTAAATACACAATATCTTATTAGGGATAAATGATTTTATATTCATGTTGTTTGAATAATTTTATTTATTTTTGTTAGAGACCATTATTCATTTAACTATATCTATATTGTTCAAATTATTTTAGGAGAATGTGTTATTTTCTTACAAAATTCATATCTTTGCCCCATTCCTCCATACGACCATCCATAAATAGACCTAGAGAGTCAATTTATGGATATTTATGGTGGGGTATATCATTTTCTTACAAACGATATATTGATATTTTCAACCCAAGGACATGTTGAACTGCTTAAATATACTAACAATAATTATTGTTCAATATTGAAAATGTAATCAATAGATTATTAATTTTATTTTGTAACATTCTGACGTGCACTTTGTCGTGGTGTGCACTCAAAATAATATTCATACAACAATTATACGTAGTATAATGAAGTAAGGTTCGTATCCACACGGAAAGGAACACTTCTCTTTTTATAGAAATAAATAAGTAATAACAGGGGGGTTTTATATTTGGTTGATGAACTTAAATTATATTTAAGCACGAAGATGAACGAGTTATGTGGTTTAATTAATGAGAAAGAGACTTGGCTTTGCTTTTATCCACTTAATGAAATGTTCGTCGATCCCGGTTATATCTTTAACTATCTTCCTCTCGAATACTCAATCGAGGAGTATATCCAGTTCATCGAGGGTAGTTATTAATAACGAGATGCGTTCATTAATAAAACTTACTATCGAGTCAATATAGAACAAGCGCCGTATATTAACTTGATAGTAGCAATAAACTTAAGATGAAAACGATTGAGACTGATAACCTCAACACAAGCGGTTTATTGGTTTAATCAATATAATTAGTTCCCCTTAGGTTATTAACCATGAGACGCATGGATTAACAACCCAAGTTTACTAACGTGAAAGGATCGAATTAATAACAAGCGTATTAATCGACTGATTCTAGTATTAATTAATATATGAAACAAAACTAGTTGATCCTTTAAGTAATGCTCAAAATATTA